TACTGTAACAGGCTCTATTCGTAACTACGAGAGGCGGAGTTACCCGCTTGAATAGTTTCTAAATTGGCGGAGCTTGTTGCCGGGGACAATTTTCCGATTACCAAGATTGAAAATTCGGGTTCACAATCTGTCATCTCAATCAATTAAATATGAGCCGGCAAACTTTCAATATTAGATGATAAATTTGCCCGTTCAATTACCGCCGGGTCCTTAAAACGACCCTTCCAGGGCTCGTTTAATGGGGGGAAGTTTTAAGTGAACTATTTTCAAACCAATCCCAGTCTCAGACTCCAGGAAATTTTATCTCCCACTGTATTTTCTTGTCTTTCGATTTTTACCTCATAAGTTTTCACAAAAGATTACATCAATTTGTGCTATAATTAAAAAAAAAACGTTAACGACCTGTTGTATAATAATTGAATGTAATAAACTTTGTTTTGAGTTAATAGTTCGTATATTGAGTAATTTTGCGTGTATAATCCATTAGGCAAATGGGCAAGAACCGAATAATTTCCTGTCGATAACGACCGCCGATTTTCATTTCGACGGAAAGGTCGTCCCATTTCCGAAATAACCTGCTTAATTTCCGAACCGCACTCGTCCGAATATCAACGTCGTCGATTCCAAAAACCGAATTAATTTGACATTTCGCACGACGAATCATCACTTTTCGATCGAAATCGATTCAATTAATTATATCATCGCCACCACTAAAACGAACATTTTAAACACTTTTTACCCTTAAAATTCGTGAAAGGTCTGGTAAAATCTGTTATTAAAACGAACATAAACGTTCTGTCAATCGAGAGATTTGCGTTTATTAATAAATCTAGTTTAATTTATCGTTCGTGCAGTAAACAACGGTTCATGACACAGACTCGTATTTCAAATTTTCAATTCGAATCTGAACGTAAATATGAATTTTGATCATTGTTTTTAATTTTCGATCTTTAAAGAAATATTAAATTAAAGTTTTACTTGGATCGTTAGATTGTTGCGGATCCCCATGCAGTTAATTAAGTCGTATAACTAGGGCTACGTTGCTGATGTACTGCATTGCGTAGTATCATTAGCGTCCGCGTGGGCCTGGGCGATTACTATTTATGATTTGCAACTGTTTCGGGTGTGGTTATACCGCCCCGAAATTGCGCGTTTACCCCGCAAAAGCCCCGCTTGTTCGATCGTCCATGGTCGCTCATTGGAACCGAGAAAATTACAACGAATTTATACCGATTTAACATTACCATCAGATAGACGATAATGTTCACTTTGTATCATTTGCAATGGTTTAATTAATGTTTATAACACATTGATTAAATTTAAATAATTTTAGAACTTTTGTTCGAGAGATATCAATTTTGAAAATATAAGAAAATATATTCATACCTAATCACTTTGTTAATTACAACCAAATTTTAGGTATTGCTATCGATTTAGGTTTTCCCCTTAGGAAGCAATGTTGTAAGAAGAGATTCCTGAAAAGCTAATGTCGTTATCAACTCTCTGGCAGTGGCAGAAACGGATTAGTTTTAATAAGCCATCAGCATATCCCAGATTGAAGAAGAAGGCTTGCTGCCCAAATCTGTAAATCAGTCTTTCTCAACGTGGGCGATAACGATATTGTCCTTTCATTTGATGTGTTATACGTCCGATGTCTACGTGAGCGCACAAAATTAAATAATTAGTTTTCCCATCACCTACGCCAGGTTTTCTCAAAGTGGGCACTTCAACAAACTGCATTCTGATAAACAAGACAAAAATGTAGCCTATTTTCAACAGCTGAAAAAGAAGTACAACGGCTTTTAAACAAGACGATGACGGAGTTAGAGCTTCGTACAAAATCTCTTTGTTAATTTCTCAAACAGGGAAACCACACACAATTGGGGAGGAGCTAATTTTACCAGCAGTAAAAGAAGTTATAACTACTGTGCTTCAAAAAAAATCCTTTAAGTAACAGATTGATGAGAGCCTGAAAACTTTGAAGAGTGATTTGCAACCATCTGAACGCTAGTCAATTTTCAATTCAGTTGGATGAGTACACTTTACCGAACTATGAAGCATTGCTGTTGTCATACGTGAGGTAGACGAGAAATCATGCTAAGAACTATTGTTTGCTAGAAATTTAGAGACAGATACAAAAGAAGAAACAATATTTAAAGCACTAGAAAGGTTATATATTTACATATTTAATAAATAAAGTTCCAGAAGTACTCGCTGTACATTGAGTTATCCTTCGACTACACATGGTTGCGAGGAATTTGAGTCTTAATCACTGTAACATGTCATCAAAGCAGTCAATAAAATTCGAAACAGCTGTTTAAATGCCAGATTACTTAATCAGGTTTGTGTTGTTAATGACGAAGATTTCAACTGATTGTTGTTTCACACAGAAGTACGTGGGCTATCAAGAGGTACTTGTTTGACTCGCTTTTACAATCTGTTTAACTCTATGATAGTGTTTTTGGAAAACAAAGACACAGGATTGCACGACAACCTCATCACATCAAAGAATGATATTGCGTACTTGGCAGACTTGTATAAATTGTTTAATGATATCAATCTCCAACTTCAAGGTGATGACTTAAACTTGATTAAAATAAAAAATGTCGTTGCTGCTTTCGTAGCCAAACTGTTTCTTTATTTGTTTTAATTTGAATAAAAGTTTTGCTAAATAATGTTTCTAACGTTGCGTTTTTTTGGACATACCTATAAGAATAGTTCGCTTAACATGTTATCGATTTTACCTTTACGTACTTAGCCATTTAGCTAGAAACGTAAAAGTTACTTACATAGTAATTACGATTGATGATGTAACCTTTCTCATAGGCTCAAGTAGCTTCTAAGTTAGTGCTTTCTCTATCTTTCTGTTTATACCTCAACCGAATTTGAACTCCATCAATACGCTAAGCCTGATATTTCAGATTTAGAGCATAAGCGATGATCAAAGATTATGTTTGTTATAGCTAAGACCTACTATATTGAAGTTATATGGTCTAATAAATATCTAGGGAGGATATCTAAAAATATCCTCCCTCAACAACATGATTTGAACTCCATATCACGGATGAAGACAACACTTGGTCACACATCGCTCAGTGTCTGCTTCATCATTTCCACACATCGTTGAAGAGAGGAGTATCTTTTTCGTCGAAATACATCTGCTTTGATCTCATCCCACAAACAGATTGCTAACTACTCTACTACTATCCGAGTTAGTTTAGTTTCCTTCTGAATGTGGCAGAATCTGTTCCTGAAGAAGTAATTTTTGTTATTACAATTATTGAAGAAACACACCATAGCAATTCTGTATTGATCCAAACAGTTTATATGTAAATCGTAATACACGAATTAATAGACGGTTTCTATTGGAAAGCATTTTAAAACATTTATTTAGGTTCAAATTACATTTTCTTCAATTTTCATTGTGTTTGAGCCATACGCAGAATTCCCTTCGTATTTATTGAAATTCCAGTGAAAATTTTAATAGACATTTTCATTATTTATAAAGCGTATGTTTGCGTTTCCAACCTACCTTTATGCTTGTACCTGCCATTATTTGTCGAAAACAGATTTTGTAAGCACACAACAATCAATGCAACAAAATTGATAGGGTTCCACTAATAATGGATGGTAAATGAAAAGGGTTTCAATAAAACTGTTATGGATGAACGCTTTCATCAGATGACGGTATATTTTTAATAATTCAAATCGTTTTATCCCGCTTTCGAATCGAATAATATTATATGTATTTCGGCGGTTTGGTGTTATTAAAACTGTTCGTTCAACCATAAAGGTTTAAATGAGCGCAATAAAGGTTCTTGGATTTAATCCATTTTTCAGCGGAAGAATAATAGGGGAGCTTTAAAAAAGAAACATTCCCAAGTTCTCTTTTTAAGTTTTATCAGAACCTGATCGATGTTGGTCTCTTTTTTCTTTTTTGTTGTTTAAAGAGCCGCAGGGCACCGCTTTCGCATCTAGTCGTCGCAAAGTTTGGTTAGTGCTTAATCTATCGATTCGGGGAGGGAAACCCGTTAGCATTGTTTAGTTAAGTGTTTAACGGGATTGCTAGTCTAAGCTCGTAACTAGTTACGAAGCGCCGGTCTCTCTGCAAATCGACGTTCATTATTAACCCCCAGGGCGAAGCCGTAACGAATATATTTGCGTTGCAACTCGCGAAACTTTCATTTAGGATTTAGGGTTTGGTATCGACAAGATGGAATTATTACCCAAACCTCTCAATCGCATTCCTATTCCATCTCGACCTACGTCTACGTGACAGGATTATTGTGATTGCCCGCTTTTTTTATTTACTTCTCACAAAAACTCGAATCGTTTATTCAGGACGAAACGCGCAAGAGTTTTAAGTCGTTTGTAGCGATACGTTCCGGGATTATTCGATTTCGAACTCGAAGAGAACTAATAAGAGTACTTTTTTAGCATAGAAATACACAATGAATGTCAATCTAGAATTGTGAGAATGTGGTCAAAGGAACCAGTTTACCGCGAAAATATTAGTTTTAGTTTGAATTCGTGTTCCTACATGCACCTTACGTGCTACCAGGAAATTAAACAACCCGAGTCAGGTTGCATACATGCATAAATCCGTCTAGATGCTTACGCAGGGCTTCCCATGTTTACCTTGCTGCATATACAGTGGCGAGTTTTCCAGTTAGAGATAAACCCCGAGATGAGTACTCGACGTTGGTTTTGCCGCAGGAATTATGTAGGAGCATATCGAAATTTCCTTTTGCGTGGAGACCAACCTTTTTAAACCGGATTCCCATTTCAATTTGTCAGCGAGTAGGATCTCACAGAATAGATCTCGAATAGGGTGAAGTATGCCTCCGGGGTAATCCTTGGAAGTAAAACTCGCCCTGCGGGAGCACCTTGATCGTCCTGCGAGATCTCTGAAAGAACGTAATAACACGATCCGGCGTTCCTCGAACATTCGTATTCATCATGTGAATGCTAATTAATTAAGTTGGTTTGTTTTGTTACAGCTGAAGCTTCTCTCGTCGGCGTTTCGGACAAGGGTAGTACAAAACCAACCCCTGAGCGACCCTATTTCGACGATATCGGACCGAGAAACGTTACAGCCGTAGTAGGTCAGTCAACTCTTCTTAGTTGCAGAGTCAAACATCCTGGGGATAGAACAGTAAGAGAAACATTTTATCTAATTAATCTCTTGTTAATTTTTATTTTTCTTCTTAGAACGTTACCTGAGCTTCGTCGGCAACTTTAATTAATAAACTTATCGACCTACCTATTTAATTAGTAACTACTCCGATTTCGCGTTGCTTTCGTTATTAAGGATTCCATAAAACGGATGCTTAATGAAAGTATTTTATCATTTGTTTTGCAGTCGTAATTTACCGTGTAAAATGTCTTGCTACGGGGAAAATAAAAGCGGAATAGCTTTTAAACTCGTTGGGTTTTTATTGCGACTAAGGTACGTCGTTATTAATGTGACAAATTTAGTCGAAACTAGTCTTTAATAAATCTTTATAAGAACGGAAATCGTTTAGATTTTCATTTAACCAACCGTTCCATCAATTTATTTGGATGAAGGGGAGGTAGCTTTCGGTTCTAATTGAGTTCGCGAATTCGATTTCATGACTCGTCGAATCTATAGTACGCTTAATTTAATCACAATCACGACAAATATAACGCAGAGTTCGTCGTTAAGGGTCGACACATTTAAAACCCGACAATCATCAACTCAACCAGGCACAGAGAGTTCCAAAGAGAATTTCAAGGGTTAATTTAAGAGACCCAATTTCACTTCACTTTGCTTTTCTCCATTTACTTGAATTTCAGGATGTTAATTAATTGAATATGTAGTTGTGGCGTAACTTTAGTTTTAACATCAAAAACGAGTAAGTGCGTGTCGATAAGAGAAGTAGAAACTCGAGATTAGTGTTTAGGATAAAATCTACGAACTTGGATTATGGCAGGTCAATATAACTTTCCGGGATTACGGAAAGTCTGACCCTATCCCCGATTTATCTCGACGTTATCTTCGTGATTATTGCGAAATCTCGTGTTTCTACGCACATCCTCATTAGTTACGGTCGTAAATTTTGTTGTATCTAAAACGACACCTTTTTGAAAACTTATATACATCTGAAACTTAAAAGCTTTTCTCTATAAAACGTGTTTCTGCAAGAGACACTTTTAAGACTAAGATTTTCTTTGAAAATTTTCATGTAATAATTTTATTCGTTTTTTATTAAAGGTATCTTGGATGCGCAAAAGAGATTTACACATCCTAACATCTGGGATTCACACTTACACGGGAGATGGTAGATTTAGCGTGCGCCATCCTGAACACAGCGACGACTGGGACTTGCGCATCGAGTACGTTCAAAAGCGAGACGCCGGTGTCTACGAGTGTCAAGTGAACACCGAGCCGAAGATTAACATGGCGATACTGCTGAACGTCGAGGGTACGACGACATGTACGAGCACGTTTCACATCGCGATCCATCTAACACCTTGTAACACGCGTACGGCGCATGGCTGTTTAAAACCCGCACGTGACGTTTGCACCCACCAAAATTCAAACCGCATTCACCGGCTTTGTCACGTTTAAAAACTTGGTCCGTAGATCATCGGCAAGCGAGCTCGAACTTGCCGTAAGCGTGCATGCTCTTGTAGATGGGGGGTTTGCTGTAGGGCGAGGCCCGCAGACGACATATTAGTGTTTTTGTTCATTTTTTTTTGTTCCAGACGCATCCCAGAAGTACCGCGGTACGTACCACCTTAGGCCCCCGCGAATATCATTATCTACCTTGATTTATTGCTCCCGTCCGCTCAGTATCTTTGTTGCACGTCCCCGGCTACCGAATGGAACACTGTAGGGTGTTGATTTACTGTTTCCTCGATGAAAAACCGTCGGATGATTTAATACCCAACCCTCGTTTTATTTTATTTTTTTTGCGATGTAGTAATCTAGAATTATTGTAATAACTTTATAATTTATTACTCCAAATCGACTTTTGTAATTTTTTTTAATAATCATTCAAAAGATAAAAAATGATACTTATAATACAATACATCAAATATAAACCAGTTGTCGATGGGATAATAACAGTCTCGCAATCCGGCACACAATTACTTCTCTCGATCTATTTGTTCGGGGTAAACACAAACAGGAAAGCGAACGCACACCATAGAATGGGATGTTCCCGTACTTCTACGAAGTTTGATTCGCATGATATTAAGCGAGATCCGTCCCGAAATCAAGTGGTCGTCGAAACTTAATCAAATATTTACATAATTTCTTAATTCCTAAGTATTCCTCGTTTTTGCAGACGCCCAAGCGACCATATCCGGTCCGGTTGAAGTGTTCGTGATGAAGGGAAGCACGATTTCACTGACTTGTTCGGTGAACGTGCATTCGACTCCTCCATCTTCCATTCAATGGCTTCATGGACCTAATATGGTCGATTTCGATTCGACAAGGGGAGGTATCAGCTTGGAAACGGAAAAAACGGAATCAGGAACTACGAGCAAATTATTAGTAACTAAGGCTTTGTTAACTGATTCCGGTAACTACACTTGTATGCCGTCCAATGCTAGTCCTGCATCTGCTATAGTTCATGTTTTAAACGGTAAGATAAATGATATTAATTAAATTTTAATGTTACTTTAAATTTGCATAATTCGATTTGGTTAAATAAAATTTTTTATTCGAAAAATATTTAAATGGCCAAGCAAATAACAGAGCGTAATTAAAATGCATAAAGTTTGGTGGGACGTGGCCCCGCGAGAAAACTTTTGGTTCTGAATTTGCGCTGATTGTAGTAGTAGTCGTGCAAGAATTTGCATCCCACTTTTATATCTTTTTTTGTCTCGCTTTTATAATTTTTAAAAATTTTAACTACCGACAAAACGGGGTGAGGTTTCAATCAATTTTAGAGCGAACGCGAATTTATGGCAAGGTACACGCCGACGCCCGGGCTTGAACAATGATTAAATTTACGGCTGGCAAACACAACAAAATGGGCAAACACTTTTGCTCGGCAGGCGATTGCTAGCCCCATAATGCGGCAAACGTGTTTCGAGCTAAATTAAAACCGAGTTCGTTTGTGTACTCTTTTTCAAATTATAACTTAGAAATTTTAATCAAATTGATAATCATCATTTTTATTTTAAAATTGAGATTAATAAAATCAAGAGCACCATTTTATTTTACTTTTTTCAGGAGAACACCCAGCGGCAATGCAGACCAGCTCAGCACTCGGTCACCAAAAAGAAGTAACCTTCTTAATCATCTTCCTCCTATTAACTTTAATAAGATGATCAATTCGCTGAAAATAAATCTTTACATTTACAAAAATTCAAACAATATCACCTATTTATAATCTGGGGAATCTTATTAAACGAAGCAAGAAAAAAATCAATCTTGACTTTATCAAGAATAAACGTTTATAGCCAAAATGGGACATAGCGTAACCGATGTTGTTTACTTGTGGTGCTATTTCAACCGAACCGGTCGTGAGAGTGAAACGAAAATTGTGTACATATGTAGTGTTTTACGATAAGAATGCGAGGAAAGTGTTAATCGTGTTGACGGTAAATAAAGATTATGGACTTAACTATATTATACATGTTGACTTTATTGTTTTATAGGTATAAACGACAACGTTATTAGATGCCATATAAAATTAATTTTTTAATCGTTTTCTTTCCCTATGAATCGAAAATTGTATCACACATTCGCGATTCCGTTTTCGTACGGTTACATTTTGTAGAGATCTCTTCATTGTACCTTGTATCATTCTGTAAATAAACTCATATAATACAATAATCATTTTATTGGTTTTCTTTCAATTTTTAATTCATTTGCTTTTGAGTCAATATGAAACCCTTCTTGGTTTACTGAAAATCTACTCTAAAGCAAGATTATAGTGTGGAATTACTCCAAATTTCCAAAGAAACTTTGGAACTCAACTGACCATACACTACATAGCTAAACAAAACTTTGAAGTTCCTCCATTCAGAGTCGGAACTTGTTTGAAATTGTAATAGCCAACACATAAGCTACAAGAAAAAGTCTGGAATATTTACGAAGAAGGAAGCTGTAATTACACTGGTGAGATTCTAGAGTTTAAGGAAAGTCTGGAATTACACTGAAAAGTTCTAAAATCTAAAATCATACTGGTAAGATTCCAAATCTTAAGAATAGAGACTGTCAGAATAAGCCTGCATTATTCACTAACAGGATTCTGGGTTGTAAGAAGAAGATTGAGCACTTAAAGCAACCCAACCCAGAGTTCAAATTTCAAAAATATGTCAGGAATTACGCTGGCTGATTACCAAACTGCAAGGAAATGTCTAGCATAGTTATGAACAGGATTCTAGACTGTAGAAAGAGGACTGTAATTACACTTGCAAGACTCTAGACATTAATGAAAAAATTTTAATTATACTGGCAGTATTCTATACAGCAAGACCAAGGTTGTAAAGACATTGGTGAAGGTTCAGATTGTTTGCTATAGTTATTGACTGTAAGAATAAGACTGAATACTCTAGAGTTAAGTCTAAAAGCACACTGATAAGTCTAGAATTATAACGACCAGGTATAGTACAGCAAAGTAAATGTCAAAAAATATAAATTGCGCTGGTTAATTTCCAAACTGCTTCTTCACAGCTATATTCAGTAACTCTTAAGGAGCTTCCGTAAGGTTTGGTTCAATGGCATACCACAAAATGATTTTTTATCATTGTTTGTAACGTCCTAAATAAAGTTTAATATCAACGAAATTCCAAATATTAAAAAAAAAACCATAAATATCTTTAAATAAAAATGGTGGAGGTGCCGGTTTAAAACAAGATAAAACTAAACTGTTTTATAAACTTTTTTGTATATCAAAGCTTTGGTTAACTAATAATTTTTTTATAATAGTTAGAAATTAAGGTTATGCCTGTAAAAGGTTGGTTGATTAAATATTTATGTTGTAATTTACCGGGAGGTTGAATATTTCAAATTGTATGCAGTATGACCCAATTTTAAGGCAAGCCTGTAATTCATGTTTTATAACGGTAGCGACGACGCCATGGGATAGGATATTATTTTTAATAAATAATTTTTGATAATTAGGAAGATGGAAAGTAATAAATAATTCAAAAATGAATCTGCCGAAAATAAATAAGAGCGAGAACAAAAGGGACGAAAAGGAAAATGACTCGTCGAAACTCGATTTTGCCGGTCTGTTGTCGTGTAAGAGATTACATCCTGATATCATTCTGCCGAAGATATATACAAGGGGGTTCGTTCCCATATTTTACGACGTCGATATTTCATCGGATGCAAGTACCTTGTATTATAGAACAATATACTCGGCACGTCCGGTTGATCTATGAGCCCAATAGAAGGGAGTTCAACACCGCAGACTCGTCGATTGGACAACTTTTTCTCGATCCCGTGTGATTGGAAAATAACTCCCTTTTTGCTCCTTTTTCGATAAAAAAAAATCTTCAAGAACTGAAGGTCGGAATCAAATCTCCGGGGGGTGAAAATTACCCCTGCAATTGTAAACCAATCAAGGCGGCGTTGTTTCACACGGTGACGCCTTCTAGATTGGAACTGTCACTCCGGAAGAAGGACGTCCTTCGTGTTTCCATCTTGATCGTCGGAAACGCGATCTTAATTGAATTAATAAAAACCGAAACCTGTTAAAAATTAATTTGCGTCTTCCCCCAAACGTAATCCGAACGGCATATTTAATTTAAACGAAACGAAAGCTTTGTCTTTCGTGGCTACCAACCTCCACCTGAGCAATTTCGAATCCTACAACTTTTATTAAGTAGGTCGCCGCTAATTATTTGCCCTTCCCCGTACTCTATTGGGATTTATATACCTTCGGGACGTCGGACCTTAAATTCTTAAGAGACTTTTCTCGTTTTACCGACGAAACCATCCTAATTAAAACATATTAGTTACTTGTTACAAAATAAAATAAAAAACCAAGTTTTACGAGAACGTACAAAAATCGATTTTAACTACACCTGGTACAACGAAAAAAATGAGAATATTTTAAACCCCAGGACAAATTGCTACGAAATTGTACTCTGGGTTATGATATAGTCTCACGTACGAACACAACAATTCCACGACCAAATCTAAATAAGCATAATTGTTCCGGACAGGATAATAGGGCTTGTTTTCATGGACGAAGTTGCCGCGTATTCAACCCCGACGTGAAAATGAGCGATGAGAACTGAAAATACAGCAGGCAGCAACGCTTTTTTTATAATCCCAAAAAAATATCTCGTACATCACTGTTATATACAGAATAAACGAAAAAGGAAAATGTAAATTGGATTAAAAGAAATACGAGTGCGAAAGGCAAAGCAAAGATATTTGAGCGCGCAATTTACTTATCGGTTCCATAAAAGGGATTAAAGCCAGATAAGATTGAGACGGAGTCAATTCTTAAGCGTTCTTCTCTTCTGTAACCGTTTTACGGGTCCGCCCGGAATAAACGCTCGAAGGCTTGAGTCTATTGCATTTCTGCTTCATTAACCCTAAGTGCACATAAAGCAACGAGAGATATTGGCAGAGAAGCGCAGATTCAAGGAACCCCGTTTCTTAAATTCCCTTATCTACGTGAATAATTGCCCGCTTAGCTTTTAAATAATAAACATCTCTGAATACCTAAAATTTTACGTAGCACCACCAAAATGATCTTTTTTACGGTTTGTTATGACTCGATAAAGTTTATATCTTTCAGGGATATTTTTTTACGATCTTCATTTCCAGATTTTTTTACTGGAGTCAATAAAAAATGTATGTATGTTATTTATAATCTAATTTTTCATTCATTTATCATCTGAAACAACATTAATTACAATAACATCAAGAGTTATGGAATAAAGTTATCCGCATAAAAAAATCGTTGAGGTGAATCAACTTGTGGTTCGTGTATCGATCTTCAGAGTATCTCCTAAATATCTTACAGAAACAATTCAGGGTCGCCGAAATGCACCGGAGATATGATTGAATAATGTAACAACATATTTCGATTGCGAGGTTTTCATGTCATCTATTGCTTTATTTATTGCATTTTCTGGTGAGTTATCCTTTCGATTAGCAAATTGTTTTTTTTGTAAACTTTTTGATGACTTTAAAATCTATGAGTTAAAAGTTTGTATCGAAATATCTACAGCGTCTCTGACATCCTCTAACATAATGACTTGCTAATATCTTCTAATATCCTCCCTGCGTTACTTAACTTTTTAGCCATCATCTATCAATAGGATTCCTCGTTATCTATAAACATTGCTATAAACCATAACATATCACTACATTTAATATCTTCCCCATTATCTATAAAACATAACATTAATTTCACATCGAAGATCATGAGGATTTCCAATTTTTGCATTGTATTAAGCGAATAACTAATAATCGAAATTAATCTTGAATAATTTGATACAATAGATGGTTAATAAATTACGAAAAGATTTCAATTATGACTAATGGAAAATTTTGCAACCTGTACCATAGAAACCGTTCGAAGGTGCAAGTTGCATATTACAGTCATAAATTACCTGTTCAACCCTAATGCTCCTGATAAACTCCTGAGCGGGATGGTGAGTATTGCCGTAAATTATCTGCGATATATGGCGATGACATCTTAGCTAATGACCGCAATATGTATTATTCACGATCCATTCGACACCAACACACCGTAATCAATTATTTAAATGAATTAATTTAAGGATTTCTTTAATTAATGTTTGTTGGTTTTTTGCTTTAAAGTAATGAATAATTAGTGTCACGTACGTTATTTGGAATACGTCGATATGTTCGTATTAAAGAGGCGCACGTTCATAATTACACGTTGCCCCGAGGTAAAATTTAACCGATTCAACTGATTTGGGCGTTTGCGAGCAGATAGGGCACGAACAACTACATCGAGTGCGGAGCGAGTTTCGCCTATATTTCAGGCAGTGGCCGGGTCAGCACGAAATTATGAACAAAATAAACTAGAGGCGAAGTTCCAAGCTCTCGCGCCCGGAGTTAATTTGTTGAACATACAGTAAAGCACCAATTCCGGTCGCGGCGTACACTAACTGGGTATGTTCGTTTCAACCCAGTACCTGACCCAACTCAAGGATATTGCCTTTTCTCTGTCAAACAACAATTAAAACATAGTTTAACAAACGTGTTTTAAACGGGCAAAAATTTCTAATTGAAAACGTTAACTAATTTGTTTAAGCAAGAGTTAGTTATTTGAGAAAAATATCAAAGCATTAATCTTGTCCACAAAGCCGAGTTATTCAACGAGAACAGCTGCGCGAGTTATTAAATTTATTATTATCTATTCGTACACTTCAAACGAGTTAAACAGATATTTTTACGCTCGGTAAGCAAATTAATTTTAAAATTATTTCGTTATTCAAACGATTTTTTTAAATTACTTCACAGGAAAAGTTCATTTTGTCGCGTCGCGAGTGGAATAAATTCGGCTTCATTCCAGAGTACAAATTCAATACATTTAAATAATTTAAAGCCGAGTGTGCGAGACGTAATGCAATTACAATAATTCAGCCGCGATCTAATTCGAACTCGGCGGAGGAGGGCGATTTCAGAGAATCGGTTCGCACCGGAAGCGATCTTTTATGTAATTGAGAAAAGTGAAGTCACCAATAAAAACTCTTCTTACATTAAAATGATTAAAGCTTATTTAATGCGATAATGAATAAGAAGAATTTAGAATAACTGTTTTATTTATATCTAATGTAAGTGAAACATGTTATGAATATTTAGGTCGCTCAAAAATAAACTTACATTATGAATTAAATTTGTAAGAAGAACGGTGTGACATGACGTCAAAACTTTCATAATAATGTGGTTCGATTCGATTTCTCCAGTGAATTACGAGGTTTAATACGAACCAATATCTTATCTAATGAGTTATCGACCGAAACTTGAATATGTATTATGCAAGTCGCGGCATAAGTCCGCTGCTAAGATCAGACTCCAAGCTTAATCTGAATTATCGACGTGGCATCAGCTCTTGAAGCCGCACTGTAATAATTAGTAGCCCTCAGGATTCGGCGACCTATTAATGATGTATTGCGACCTGTCACAATGGATTTGGTGGTCTATCCCGGACAAAGGCGTCTTCAAAGCGATGAATAATTCCCGCGACAGGTCCGTCCTAGTTTCCAAACAACGACAGATGTTGCTGAATTTTAGTTATAAGATTTTATTAAGATTAATACAACGAATTTCATCAACATTCGCCACCGTCCGAGAAATTCGTGGAACTAATCCCGAACCAAAATTAAATTAAACTGAATTATTTTAGCGCTGAGGATTAAGGGTTAATCTTTGCCGTCGTCCCGTACTTGAAAGTGAGTTACCGTCCACATTTACCTTTACACGTGCAACACGCCTAAGATTAAACTATAAAAGCGGGACACTAAAACCTCACTACTAAAACTTTATAACAAGAAAATCATAGAAGAAATTTTAATTTCACAACTTAATTTATTAACCAAAGTTCTTTTTAATCTTATTTTTTTTTTTTAGTTTTTTGTTCGTTATCAAAACAAACCGTACATCTATCAGACTACAAAACAAGTTTTTTTCGAAGGGAAATCGACGCATTATTAGCTCGCAGCTCGCTAGTCAACACCAAATCCATCTCCTGTCCAAGCAAAAAATGTCATCCCACGGACTAATGGGCCCTATAATAACCCATCAGGAATTTGGATGCCGACTGAATTTATTACCGAAGCTGACGTTCAGATTCACGCTCTAACAACGTAAAAAAATCTGCGAATTCGGATCACAGAACGTTAACCCCCGACAATGCACTTTGATTGGGCACCCAGCTCCGGAGCAACCCCCTAATGGAAGCGAAATGAGCCGTGGCACAAAGGGGTTGAGTTGCCGCTTTTATTTACGCCAAATTTTCGCGTTAGCCAAAGCTCTTAACCCCACTCACATTCATCATCATTTTTTTTAACACAAAAATAAATGACAAAAAAAAATTAATCTCGAATACTGTTTATTTTATACTCTAAGTGATAATCTAAATCATTTTAATTTAAATAATAATCTAAATTATAATCTAAATACAAATTAAATATGTACAATTTTTTTATTTAAAATTAAAATACAAATACAGTCTTTTTTTAATTCGGGGGAATTATACATAAAATATTTCACTAACTTTTGTCTTCGGACAAGAGTAGAATGTTGAACAGGACGAGGAAACAAAGCAAAATCGAGATGACAACCGTACCGGAAGGAGTTGATGCTGTATTTCCCGCGGCAACAGGAAAATCCCTTTGCATCGCCTCGGAATGTTCAGCTTAAACAACAAACATGCGGTAAAATCACAGAAAACCTTCTTACGGGGCACTCTTTCTAGGTTGAAATATAAAAATCATCGATCTTTACCCTCTACGACTATCAGCCTGACAGAATCCCCCAAAGTTGCTGCTTGAGTGCACGCGTAAAGACCACCGTCTTTCGTTGTAACAACAGCAACTCTTAATCTACTGGTCACTTTTCGATCCCTGTAATCAGTATCAACCGATATTCCACCACGATCGAGCTAAAAATAGAAAAAAAAATAAAATTATTTTACTTTAAATTGAAATCAAAAATTGTTTTGATTTAAATTCGGAAAGGTTAACGTTCCTAGTAACCTCAGTCATCTAACAATAGAACCATTGTAGAAATAGGTGTCACCAGTTTGGCACGAACTCAAGGAGCCCGCAAACGTAACTGAACTGAACTCACCGTGTAGGTCTTTTTACTCGTAACCGTAAAGTGGTATATTACTAAACGCGAAAACGTATTACGTTCCTGACGAAAACAAATTGTGGGTCGGATGAGTTTGTTTTTGGAACGCGTCAACATCTATAATCAGTTTATATTTAGTTCATTTAGATTTTTATTAAAAAGGATAATATAACATGTCTCGATTATATCGTTTCGGACACAAATGACCTTGACTACAATTTTATTTATCGGTTTATAACATTTATCCACCTAAGAGATAATAAAATAATTAATAGAGGATTGTTTTGATTAATTTTGTAACCGAAAATGATTGTGGGGATTTGACTGACACACCAATTTATTTTGTTTACTCAAACAGATAATGTAGTTATGAACTTACTGGAACAATGTAGGTTATATACGAGTATTTACTGGAATGTAAACGAAAATTAGGACGCGTATTTCTCACTCAAAGAAGATTTCAACCTTTACATTTAAGGTAATCTTGAGACTGTTTCGATTAACAATGAATTTATTTTTACCTCTTAGTTTTAGTTTAAAGTAAATCCGTGATGCGAAGAAGGTTGAGTGGCGGTGAGTTTCTGTGAACCACAAAACTGAACTCACACTAATTAGAGCTCAAGTTAATATGACAGAGTTTCTACTCTGGGTGGCACGTATTGCTGTTGTGAATATAAAATATTCACTAACTCTAGGGAGAATTTTACTTCATTAAGGTTTTTTTTAAAACGGAAAGGGAAGTTTCAGAATTTCCTATAATAATTTTGAAACTCTGTGTGTTTATTATTTGTTTAATCCATATAATTAATTAATAACAAAGTAACTCATAATTAATCGTTTAAGCGAGAAGTTTCCACAAATCTTTTAAAAACTAGTTAATTAAATAGCTTTGATCACCTAGTTGTCAAAGGAACACGTATCTTTTATCTTGATTAACTTAATAGATCTTCAAAAACTTTTCACGAAACTGCCATCGACATCGGATCAACACACAACATTAAACAAACAAGTTTAGCACAACTATAAAACACTCTGCTAATCCTGGATGAAACTCGACCCTGACTTTGTTTTATGATAACTCCTACCGATGGAAATTCACTATTAGGAAGATGTTATTATTTGTAGTTTCGTTACACCCAAAACGTATACTTACAAAAGATAGAATAGAAGCAAAAAAAGTGTTCACCACTACTTAACCGACACAAAGTAATTACAAAAAGTATTGCACCACTTTCAGTCTACATCAAAGGAGTGATACTCACAAAAAAAAAACGTTCTGGTTCCACTGAATGACTTTTAAATTGAAATCCTCGACAAAAACCTTCAATTAGACCGATGGACCTAAAGGAGCATTTTGTGTTGTAAACGAATGCAAACAGAAAAGTAAATACGACAAAGCTTAAGCAAAAACTGGAAATATATCACATTAATGAATGTAGGATTATTAATCATTCATTAATGAATATTCGAAATTCTGATGAAGAACCTCGTGGGTTTCTGATCGAGTTTCTGAAACATAATACTAGCTTGTCGATAACCTATATTCGAACCAAGGTTGGCATTCAAGAAAGAGGAGATGAACGTCCTTCGAACAAAGCATTTTGCAGAATTACATCGATTACGATGATGGCAACGCCTCAACTTGCAGATGAATCCCCAACACTTATGATAGAGTCGCTCATTCTGTAGTTGAAAATGCATACCATTTCAATTAGCTACTTATTAGTAATTATGTTAGGCATTGTAGAATTGCACCATTATTTGCATTAATTATTTTTATTGATTTTTTTGTAATAAACTTTTAATTAAAACACTTTAATTGTTTTGAGTTAAATAACATATAATTTTAACTTAATTTATAACTAAAAATATATATTACACTTACCTACTTTGCGTTGTACTTTTGTAGCATTAACAAGTTTGATTAAATGTGTTCGCCAAAGTTCGAATAAAAATGAATCCTAAACAAACAATTTGGAGGTACCAGCACATTTAGATCAATTTGTGCAAACTTTGCTAAGACTACATTGCAAATTGCAAACTGGAAGACGAGCTTACGTTGGATTTTATCGAGAATGTGAAACTATCGTTTACTTACATTGTAACCAGCGGTGGAATCGAATCCGATTTTGCTACATTAACTATTTTAAAATCACCTTAAAAATCAAATCCATACCTCATGTGTAATCTCCTTGCTTTCGTACAACCATTTAACCCTCGGCTTTGGGAAGAACATGTCGTGAGCTCCGGTTTGAGAAACTATTTCACATGTAAAAGTTACCGGAGAACCCACCCTAACGTACACTTCTTTAGGCCCTTTTATCGAAGCTACGTAGGCGTATTTTGTGTTGATATCTACCGCATCTCTCATACCTACATCTCCAAAAAATAAAAAACCGAATTATTTATTAAAATAAACGTAATAAGTAACTTACCAGAAACGCTAAGATTCATTGCAAAATTAATTTTAGGGTCAGTATTAACTTGGCACTCGTATTGACCCATATCAGATAATTTAACCCCCCGTATTCTTAAACCCCAAAAATCAACGTTACTGTACAAAGCTTCAAATCGATTATCAGCAGTAAAAGAAATAGGTCCAGAAGTTAGAATGTGGAGGTCTTTCTTGCGTATCCAAGAGACCTGCAAAATAAAAAAAAAATATCGTAACACTTGACTCGGATTCGATTCTTGGAAAAAAGAGGTGCCCTGGAGGAAATAGAGTGGTTCTAAGAATGGTCTGCAAATCCTGAAAGTCGAAGACCCTCCGGTAAATAAATAGGGCGACCGGAGAGGCGCCGGGCCGAACGTAAAAGCGAAACGGAAATTGTTAGTTTAATTGGACCAATAAAGCCGGATTTTGCCCGCCCCGAATCGTGCCCATTAAACATCGGGGAACGAACTAATAGTCCTAAGAGCCGTCCGTTGTTGCGCTTTATGAGAACCATTTCTTGGGCTCGCTTTTCTTTTAACCGAGATCGTCAGAAACAACTAAGACAAGTCGAGACAGGAATTTAACGACTTCGAAACTCCCGGTCGCGCAATCCCGTTTATAATCAAACAAAACAAGATAAAAGATTTCTTCAGTATTAAAATGTCAAAATATCGGAGAAGCTTTTTTTATGTCACTAAATCCTTTCCAGTTACACGCATATTCCTTTCTTAAAATAGATGGGAATCTTGACGATGTGGCACCAGCCACAAAGAAAAACAATAGGATCGTAAATACAAGACGAAAATAACTAACAGATTCTACGAGTAAAAAAAATACATGGAAAATTACTTAAAAGAAAAAATTTAGATTGAATTTACTGTAAAAAAAAATTTCGGATTTAAATTATGACCTTTTAACCAGTCAATTCAACCAAAAAGTTTTAATAACCGTTTTGGATCTAGGATTTTTCAATCAGCATTCTCAATAATCGCTGGACTGATTATTACTCGCCCGAACGAGCGCTCAATTAAAACCGAATGAATTGCGATTCGGAGAAAGGCAATGTAGTAAAAGCTCCTTTTCGCGGACTTTTCAATTACGCGCTATGAACGCTGGCCGGTTTAAATGAGAACGTATACGTAGTGTTCGAGTTGACGGTATTGATTTCTTTATTCTTTTTCTAATAAAAACAAAGAAAAATTGTTCGTTCAAATTGCTTGAATTCACAAATTCTTACCACTTTATCTCCTAAATTTCTAACTGTACAAGGCAAGACAATAGTTTGTCCTACGATGGCGTGAATTTCTTTTAAAGCACTCTCATCAAATTCCGGAACAACTTCTACTTGACTTTCTTCAATGTTCAATCTATTCTTGGTCCAAGCGTATCCTGTAAACAAAACAAGAATGATTGTTCTGCTCGATTTAAGTAAAATAAGATTTTCCAAGATTGTCGAAATGTCAAATTCTTGACATTTAAGAACCGAACTGCAACACACATGCTATTGGCTCGACTCCCAGAAGAATAACGTTCTATAATTAGATTCTATATCTTTCGAGATGGCAACGTTTTGTGTTGCCGTAAGCTGTAGGGGATTTTCTCGCACCTACTTCGGTCCAATTTGGACGGAACCGTTCCGGGAATAGGGAAGAAAATTGGCGTAACAACTGGGTGAGGGCAAAAAGGAACGGATATATTCGAAAAAATCGCGCTACGAAATCCTCGGCACCGTTTCACCGAATATCTATCGCAAAATCGATAAGGAATTTTAAATTGAATCGTGCGTTTTCACGACTTTCCACGACCCGCAAACTCCCAGGATTTGCAATGCTATGTCAGCGAGCGCAACGTCAATATCTGTGATTGATATCGATGGATTTGAATATCACTGTTAGACAATAAATAGGAAATGCATGGATTCAATTTCCATTTTGAGTTATTTCCATTTCACTTTTATTCAAAAATATTTTAGCATCAAGGTCGTTAGAGTTCTTTTGATAATTAAAACAAATAAAGGATAGTCAAAGTACAGTAAAACTTAACATAATAAAACGTTGGCTCGTCGCCAAGATTTCGTTGCTCGGAGTCATAGTTCTTGTTATTTAATAAGCCGGAGCACTTAAATAGTAAATCCAGTCCCAACAATGCCGGAGCGGGACATGAGCTGTAATTATACTGGAAGTTGCCAGAAATGTCTGTCTGCAATCTGCATCGCAGTTTTATTCGTGTTATTGTAACATGGTACTTTTATTTTTTTTTTATGGTCTCTGCAAGGTAGTTTTATAGGAAAATACATTGAGAACAACAACTAAGGAAATCGTTCGAGATTGAGTGTTTTGGAAATCTATTAAAACTCTCAACTTTTCGACCTTCGACGGGGCTTTTTCTGGTAAACTTTCCGGTTAACTCGACTCGAGAGAGCTGGAAGTGTAACGAATTTATCCCGGAGCATTGTCTAAAAATAGAATAGAAAGGTCGGAACCAATCTTCGTCCGACATATGGCGTTGGAAACGAGTCGTTAAGATTAACATCTGAATAAGAACCGAAGATGTGTTTGTTAAAAAAAATCTCCCTTTTATGGGACTGTAAAATATCTGGTCGTGCCCCGAAATTTAATCACCGAGGTTTATTACAATCCACGTTGTACCATTGTAGGTTAAATTCGCCTCGGGGTAAAGGTTACACATGGAACAGTGCGCCAAATAATTGTCGCACGGTCGGCGCTAGCCGGATTTATGCGTTTCGGGGTCGGTTCGGCCACTCTGTTTGATCTGTCAACAAAGATGTTAATGAGGAAACGATTGCTTACCAATGGATGTTTCCCGGAACAAATGTACTTGTCTACACGTTAGCAAAGCGAATTAACTCGAGTTGTTACTGTGGCGAAATTCCTAACCAATACCAAAACCGATACACAAACACAGTAAGAGAATATTAACAGAAACACCACTGCTATTTAGTAGTTTTATCAATCAATATTTCAATTTAACTACTATCATTCCTAGTTATATCGTTTTACATAAAATGTTGTGATAGGCATATTTTGAGAAATGAAAACAAGACTTTGAAATCAAACGCATAGCGCCTAGTATAAAGTTATGGATTTGTAAGATAGCTGCCTAAAACAATACTGCCATAATTACAGAACTTAACTTCTATTAACTTAATTTCCTTGTTTCGTAGTTTTTCCTTGATCTGCAAAGGTTCGGTTTAATGTTAGACGATAAAAGAATAAGACATATTGAAGGAAGACCGCAAAATTTAATACCGGTCCGTGCAATACAAAACTATCTTGTTGCCGTCCAAGTTTTGGTCAGAATAATTCCCGATGTTTTCTTGCTGTCAGAAATGTCTGGACAAGTTTTTCTTTCAATTCATAGTTTAAGATGCTGAATGATAGTTAAAATTATAAGATTTTGTATTATACATAATCAAATTCAATAAAATCACATCTACATTAACGAGAGGTGGAATCTAATTTTATTGTATTATTCAAGATTTAAATTGTTGGGAAAATTGGAATAGATCCAAACTTGATTGTTCTTTTCGCTTGAATAACACAAGACCACCTGCTGGACACTGAATAATACCTCGCATTTGGCGAGAAGCGGAAGCCGTTGACTTTCGAGTCTCGGAATAGTTCTTTGTGTGAGTCATCATCAACGCAAGCGGATATGATGTTGTCCTAGTGCGTACACAGTGTTTGCTATGGAGTGTTTCTAGGGAAATTACGTCGATGGGACCCCTCTGCGAATAGTTGGTTCGGCGCCAGCGATCCTAGTACTGCAAGAGACAATGCCAATACATCAATCATCCTGCGGTCGTCCTCGCCGATGGCTGGCGTTGTGCCACAAAGGAAAAGCGGCATGTTTACTCGGTTCGGCTATCGGTGTATGGCTTATATAGCGACCACCAGCGGTGTATAAATACGCATCAAGCGTTCTGATACGCTTCGGATGGTTTTAATACGACCCGAATTGACCAATTTGTACCCACACTTGTAAAAGAAAATATTACAAGTTCCATCAAAAGGGTGCCATATGTTGAAGTGATTTACATCGTAAAGCGGCCCATATTTATGTTAATGCTTGTTCGCCAGACGGTGGCGGCGGCCGATATTACAAAAATCAAGACCCTTTCTATACAATCTTTATTAAAATCTTAAACAATAGATAACCCCTAGGTATAGCTTAACCAGGAAACATTGGCTCAATGGTAAATAAAGCCATATATCTGCCAATGACCGTGTCGCTTCGTAATTACACTAATGACAAATGCATTTTCCATTAATAATACACATCGAATTGTTTTGTTTCGAACTCAACGAGGCTCTCACATTCACAATGTTATCCAAACACATTACCACCACTATACAGTCAAACGATCACCTTCATTAACAATACTGTTATTTTACGTTCAAAATTTACAAGGACCTTCACTTTATATTTAAATAAATTTTGATATTTATTAAAATAATACAAAGCTAATTGTCAATTACTATAAGATACTTATTTAACGAGTTGCCAAAGGTTATTCCTCTGCGTTGAAAGTTAAATTAAAACCGAAGTCGTTGTGGCGTGTTTGATAAACGACCGATGTAAATAAAAAATGACGTCGTCCCTTTGGGTTATGAAGTTGTTAAAAGTTAAAGCTGAAAACGAACCGAACCGAAACGAGCATCGTTACTAAATTTATGTGTTTGCGTTTCTGCCATCATACAATTAATACCATAGTATTTATTGATGTGAATGAACAGTGTTGGTACTAAACTCAACAATTATAAATAATTAACGTGTAGAATATTTTATGGAATTGTAGAATAACGGAAAAACTCACGCGATCCATTAAATTTAAACAACTTCCGTTCTATTGAAGTATTTTTAACCGAGCGCATGTGCGCAACCCAAAAAAAATTGTAAAAACATCAATTAGACGACTGCCCGTTTTAACTTTCCATTAATAAAAACTTCTTTTGATGTTGATTTTTATTTTAAATAGAACTGAGAATGAGGTACGAATTAGTCAACAAATAACACCATAAATCAATTTAATTTTTTTGTGTATTTAGAATGAATGCGGGGTAAATCGTCATTTAGTCCCTCACAGCTGTTGACTAGGCTAATAGACCGCATATTTCGGTCCGATATCATCTTGGTACCCTATATCGTTTGTTGCACGTGCCACGCACGATATACCATAACAAGACAATATACTTACTTTTTTTCCACGACATTTTCTCATAACGGGAATTTCATATAACTCGCAATACATGAATGCAGTAACCATAGTTCCGAAATTGCTATGCACTTGCATTGTCCAACATACAATGCAACATAGATAAATAACAATTAAAACTGGAACTAACACTAGACCTAAAACTAGAAACATTTGGGTTTAGCCGCACGTCTCTCAAGACGGCTAAACCCGAATGATTCTAGTTCTAAGTCTTGTGTTAGTTCTAGTGATAGTGCAAAACTAGAACTTTTACTGTAATGTGAAATTATATTAACATGTTGCATTTTATGTGGGACAAAGTAAGGTTTCCTCCCTGGTTTCTATGGAAATATATTTTTGTATATTGAATTTTAAGTGAAATATCGTTTTAACGCTAGTACGGTCCTGTAAGTTAGCACATACATCACGGTCAATATTATCAAACAAGTTACTTCCTTTACATGACTCGACGTGTAACATTAAACAGTAACGCGATAACTCGACGGCATTGGATTAAATTTGGTTTGATGAAAAGAATGTTTTGATAGTTGAGGAAAAGTTGTTCTTCAATTCTCCGAAAGAAAATCGAAAATCACGTTGAGATGAGGCGAAACTTAAATATTTACGCGATGAAAGTTGTAAAACCAATCTCTGGGGCATTATTGGGCTTGCGTGTCAGCGTCCTGGAAAAATAATAGCCACGGGGTGCGCAGATTTACGAGATGGTACTAAAAATACGTCACTACGCTCACATTTGAACCTCCCCCTTATTATATAGGGATTGATATTAATTTATTTAAAAAAAGGGGATGTCAAAACAGTTTTTTTAAGCCATTTATAAAGTAAATAAGCTAAAGATAACAAATGTCTTTCAAAAATTTTTGGCATGAAACAATAAACAACGCATTGAAACAAAAATAAATTATTTTTAATTTATTTATAATTTAACTTACCAGCTAACAATGGATTCAACAAGTTGATAATCATCCAAAATTGTATCAACTTGAATAAAATCGATGAAAAATTATTGGAGATAACGACAATCATGTCTATAATAATGTTCACTTATAAAAACGTTCATTTAACTTTATTTTAAGGGTACACAAAATAATTATAAATATTAGGTGATTTTTTTCAACAAACACAATCATTTCACAAAATTTACACTAAAAAAAATTTGCTTTTAACTTGTAACTTTAGTTGATACGACGTCGCCTGAGTCGTCGACACGTATGTAGTATACGCACGTGCCTCGTTCCTGCAGACATCGCGGGGCAAAACTGCGATGAGAATAGCTGTTGATATATCGGAGGCGCTCACTAATGGGGCCCTTCGTTCCCCTCCCTTCGTTCAAATGCGGTCGCGGCAATTTATTTGATGAGCGAGGGGGGTTTCACGTGTATGTGTGTGGATGGGGTTCCGCGTTTGTTTCCTGCTGTGTACCTGCGTTTTAGCGTTATTGCCGCCTTTCTTCCGCAGCCGGTGATGAATGGACCGGGTTTTCCGGAGACAAAAGGGTTTTGCGCAAAAATGTTGTGCGGGGAAATCGTTTTGACGGGGTTGGAAAAATATCATTCATTAAATTAAAAATTGCGATATTAATGATAATGAGTATTTTGGGTGTTTTTGGTGTAAATGTTGTAATACTATATCAAGTTGTGAATAGAGTAACGGTTAAAGGTCTATAAAATTAAATAGCTCATAGTGTTTAACCAATAGCTATCGGGCCTTTTATGCGCTTTTATGGTCCGAGTCGCTAAATACGTAATGAACTTGGATATGTTCGAGCTGATATAATGGCCCGTGGACACCGAGGGCTTTTGTGCTGGTGGGTAAAGTGAGTCGTTTTTGTTGAATCCGCCGTAATTTATGCTAGTTTGTCCTATTGTTTGTTAATTTCGTCGTTGTAATATTCGTACCGAATGCGGCAAATATTTTTTCATGCTATGGATCCTATATAAATAAATAGAATTTACGCGTTTGGAAAATTGAGAATCCCCCAGCAATATTCAATACCAAGAATCGGTTTGCAGCAGGTGCACCAAACGATCTAAGAACTGAAAACCGTTTCGAACTAAGGGGTAATTTAAATTGCAAAACCGTGGTCATTTCTTGTATCTTTCAAAGATCTTCTATTATCTCGCCACGCCTTAGCGTGATTCTGGCGCCGGAAATACAAGAAGGCGTCGAGTAGAGAAGTTTGCCGAATTCAATAAGAAAGATCGCTTTCCTTCCGGCTCAAAGCAAAAAAGCTCGCTCCTGCAGATAATAGCGATTGCTTCAGTATATCTCCGGGGTTGAACTGCCAGATATTACTCCGGGCTCCCACTTGACACAGTCCGCAGCATCGTCTTCCACCCAAACGCTCTGAATCTCCGAATTATACGTCTTTCAATTCACCAAGCAGAATCCTGCAAACAGCGTTTGTTGTCTCTCGCTTATTGTAGCCTGATGTCTCATTGTTTAGCTGTATAATATTGTATATAACGGCTTTTGATATCTGCGGCTTTGTTATCTAGCTACAACCGAATAGGTAGACTGTAATGAAAATCCCCATAGTTACTAATTACACGGTTTACGTAAATAACCAACATTTTAGCTCATTGAAAATGCTATAATTAGGTTTGTTCTTAAAATCCCCGTAGGGATATCTGTTTCTCGATTGAGGGTTAGGGTAAATGATAATGGGTTAAATCCCTGGTCTATACTTTAGACCAATTTATTCGAGGCGTAACGACGGAATTGATAGAAAATCGTTAACGGTGTCGAGGGAAAACGCCGCGAAACCTTTTCAAAAAATTTCAATCACGCCGTTCCCAGAGTTTGATGTCGGGCTTTGTCGAAAGTAGTTCGACGGAGTTTAATAGATTTCCATGGGGTGACGTGTTTGGGATTGTACCCTAGCAGAGAAAACCGAACAAGTCTAGAAATACGCGGCACGCAGAGTGAAAGAAAAGTTGGCTCGTGTATCTAGTTTGAGAACCGAAAAGGATCATTAATAACCGCATTCGGGGATGTCACGGCATTTCTTAAAGGGCAGTAAAGGTCAAAATCTCCCGGGGTGGCTTTGATCGCGCCGGGTGAAGTTTCGTAATTTATTGACAGCCGTATTAGCATCGTATAATTTTGTAAAAATCGTTAATCTTCTAAACACGAAGGCGAAGCGTTAATTTTTTTTTAAGGAAGAGGAAGAAGTATACGAAGAAGATGAAAATTGAAATAAAAAAAGGATGGGATTATTCGAACCGTCTTAGATGCTAAATCAATTTAAAAGTTTTATAATTCTGACAACTCGATTCTGAAGTGCCCCTCGAAACTTGAGAATAAGCTTTCGGCAAGTTGATTTGCGCCGTAGTAACTTTTCCATCTTCTACTGCACAATTCTCTATTTACCTTCATACTTTAATAAATAACATATTACTATGATCTCCATTACAAATTTTTCCTTTTACGTTTGTACTATCTAATACAAGGTGATTCAGACGACAGATTTAAAACTTTCAACGAAAAGATTTTCGTTGTAGTAACTTTTCAATCTGACTTTGAACAATTCCCCATTTAAGTTACGTTATTTAATAAATAGCACCCTGTGTCGGTTCTAGGGGGTAAACACGCCCAGATGTCGTTTTACTCGGAATATTAACCCGCCTTACTATGCATATATAGATCACTCGATCTCACGTGGCCAGGTACATAAATCGCACGTGTACAAGGCTGTAAATTTCCCGAGATACAAGGACAAGTGCTCTACTAACGGCTTTGGAATTTATTGGGTGAAATTTGTAGTTTGGTACTGGATTTAGTGTTGAGTTATCTTCATTCTCTCGAAAATTGCAAAAAAAGATCGATTTTTCATCTTCCCATCCGGTAAATTATTATTTACATCCGAGTTAAATCCTTGTCGTGACAAAGTACAAAGAAGCCGATCGCGTGTTTCCAGGCGTGAACCGCTTTTATGGCGGTGAAGTGGTCCTTGAAACTCCTTAAGGGCACAAACGAAAAGTCCAGTAGGTGGCGGCAACGTCATTATCGCTGAAATGGCTTATCGATTAGCTAACGTCGTCGTCGTAGTCGTTGGTGTGCCTTTGTTCAAACCCCTTTTCGCCAAGTTTAAATTAATTTTCGACCCGGTTTTGTTATTTATTTATTCTCGGCAACTACCGATAAACAACTGAGCATCGAAACAAATCACGAACGCTCCCGAAAGAACAGCGTAAATTCTTCGTTTAACGGCTTATTTATGTTGGATCGTCTGTTAGGCAGATCCCTTTCTTCTTGTCTGATAGTTAACAAATTACGAAGTATAATTCAACCGAACGATTGTGTTTTAACTAGAATTCAATGTGTATTTTTAATAATCTACGGAAAATATTTCACTTGAACAAACTTTCGCATATTATACGCCCAGTTGTTTTTTTTTATTTTATCCAACCTACGGCTAGTAATTTATTATTAAAAAAAACATACGCATATTGTATACTAACATCGAAAAGTCAATCCTGTATTATTAGTGCAGCGGATACGTAAAAAAATACGCCCGATCCATTTTTATTCAGTTTACTGTCCGAAAATTCAAATATAGAAAATTATTTCGGCAAAAGTTTCGTTGTGTGTACATATCGTACCAATTTATTATTTGTTGTAAGCGATAGTTCAATTAAATTTTATTGGATTTTTATATAGCAGGATTTATATAACATAATTTACGCTTAAATCATTGCTTAATATTTATTAATTTTCAATTTAAAAAATCACTACTTTTAAAATTAATAGACCACATTGAAAAACAACTATAATTAAATAAACTGTGGAAATAAATTTAAATATTTTGTGTAATTAAACAAAACAATACACCTTTAATTCATTTTAAAATTTATTAAAATTGTTTTACTGCAATCGATTGCAATCGCATTAACCCTTAGAAGTTTATAATGTTTTAAATCTTGCTCTAATTGGTTGCGATCCTAACCCAATCTAACCGAACCCAACCCAACTTAACCAGACAAGTTTAAACAATTCGTTCTCTTCATACGATTACATTCAGTGACACTGTTAAAAGATCGGATCTATCTAATTGATAATCAAATGTGCAAAGTTTGGTTTAAAAAATCATAACAATGAAGTTTAAGGAAAATAAGAAATAATTTAAATCACACTATATTTTTATTAAATTTGCTTCAAAATGACGTATATTTCATCGTAATATCTCAATTCGTTCTTGAGATACGACTTTTTAAATTTTTGTTATCAAAATCGATAATCAAGTGTGCAAGGTTGGGTTTAAAAAATCATAACAATGAAATTTATAGAAAATAAGAAATAATTTAAATCACACTGTACCTTGATTAAATTTGCTTTAAAATGACATATGTTTCATCGTAATATCTCAATTCGTTCTTGAGATACGACTTTTTAAATTTTTGTTATCAAAATCGATAATCAAATGTGCAAGGTTGGGTTTAAAAAATCATAACAATGAAATTTATGGAAAATAAGAAATAATTTAAATCACAGTATATCTTTATTAAATGTGCTTTAAAATGTTTGTTATTACATCATGATATCTCAATTTGTTCTTGAGATACGAGTGTTTAAATTTTAGTTTTTATAATCTATTTTTAAAACGTGTAGAGTTGAGTTTAAAAAATCATAGCAGCAAGGTTTATAGGGGGTAATAAATCATTTATGGCACATTTAATCTTCATTAAATTTGCTTTAACATGCAGTTTATTTCATCACCATACTTCAATTCGTTCTTAAGATATGACTTAATTTACTTTTTAAATTTTATTAAAAAAAATTGTATAAAATTACAAAGTATTTACATCAACTTTCTTTTTTCTCCCCATCTCAATGGCTTCATCAATAGTATCCGGTAATTTCACCCTGTTAGTTTCAGGAAAACAAAACGATAAAATTCCCGTACTTATTGCCATAACACCAAACAACATCAAAGGAAGAGATTCCCAAACTTTAACCTACAACAATCAAAATTAATAACCTAATACCCATCATACATTTATAACGAAAGTTTTGAACTTCGAAAAGGTGATTTAAACACAACTTAACAATAAAATCACTGTTTTAATGTTCAAAGTTGACCAATGTCATTACCAAAAGTGGTATTTGTGGTGCTACCATAGATCCAAGCCGACCAAACATCGAACAAGTTGCTAATAAAGAATGTCGAAGACAAGTTGGAAACATTTCAGTCGTGTACATGTATAAAACTGTGTAAGCAACAGTGGCGAAGAATTTACCAAGTAAAAATAATGCCAACCTCGAGTAATGTTGATCTAAAATTAGAATAAATAAAATGAAGCGAAAGAAAATAAAACAAATAGGCGGGAACAGTTGTCGGTATTTAAGAAATGCGTGTGTACCTTCTGGGACGAAAATAAACGCCAAACAGGCTAAACCGCTAAAAATAAAACCCGGCGCTAATGTCAGCCTTCTTCCAATCCTGCTCAAGGTATAATTGCATACAAAGTAGGCCGGAACCTCAATTAACGATACAGCTATAAAATTAACATAAATATTTCCAGATATTGAGACAGAATGCAACGTTAAACCGTAATAAACAAACGTGCAACAAATCCAAGAATACGAACAATTTATTAATCTAAATAATAAACGAGGAGCTTTAAAAATGTGTATAAAATTTTCTTGGGGTACATCAACTTCTTCTTTTTCCACATTTAATTTTGATATTACTTCTTCTGATATTGAAGTGCCATTCAACTTTGCTATTTTTTTAAGTATTTCACTCGCTTTATCTTTATATCCTTTCGATAATAACCACCTTATAGATTCGTGAGATAACCAAATATAAGCAATAAAAAAGATTCCCGGTGCGTAAAGAATTCTTAACATAACTCTCCATGAAGGTGAAATCCAAGCTCCCAAACCCAAAATGACTTCTCCTAGCGCAAAAGCGCACGCGAGAATAGTGTTACCAATTACACGTTGTTTTGGAATAACCAATTCCATAGCTGCGAAAAAGAAATAGAAAATTATTTTATGTTCTAAAAGATTTAGTCTAACACGATTTGGTTTAACAAGATTTTGTTTTAAGGTTGGCATAAAAGAAGAAAATTTCGATTTCCTGGAAAGATAAACGTAACAATAGAAATCGAATTGAAACTTTTTAAACTTTTCTAGAATCGTGGAAGTAGTTTTCCACTTGTATAGCGGAAGTATTATGGATATTGGGGTACGTTTAGATTGAAAATGGTTATTTTAAAAATGCTTTTGAGTTTAAAGATTACAAATTATATATTGGGTCCATTAGTAGATTAATTTTTGATGTAGTAATAGCGTATATTTATTTTAATAATTAATGCTTCGCTCAGAGTTAAATCGGATCAAATTTTGAATAATAAAGTGTAATTTTTAAACCGCTTAAAAATAAAATATTAAAAAAAATGGGATTAAATTGATTGTGATTGTTCAGTATCTAGATAAAATAGATTAGATAAAAAGGGAGATTTATATCCACGTGTTTATTTAGCAATACCCACCTAAAATAAATGCGGCGCTATAAAATCCTGATCCCAAACTGGTGTCAACGAACTCCATTATTAAATAAAGGGTGTATGTTGGCATAAACGATCTTATTAAACCAGATATAGTAGTTGCTAATCCTCCAAAAATCATCATTGCTTTTCTTCCATATCTTAAAATATAAATTATATAACAATTATTTTAGTAAAAATTTATGAATGTTACTTGTCTGAGAAATATCCATATATAGGGAGACATACTAATTCGCCAATAATACTTATAGTACCAACGATTGTTAATTTCCAGAGGTTTTCATCGCATGTTATGTTAAACTAAAAAAAAATTAAAAAAATCTTGATTTTCTCAATTTGGTTTATATCTCAAAAACTAGAAATGTTAGGTTTAAATGTTGCACATAAAAATTGTTTGTAATGAACCAAAAAAACACAATCCATAGGCGGTTATTGTCCAACTATGAGTATTACCAACTTAGCAGATTTAAAATCCAAAAACAATTAAATGAGGGGTATTTAACAACTAAATGGATCTTCACACAAAAAATAAAAATTGTGGGTGAAAACGAGTTGAAAAAAAATTGTTCATAATAAGTCATAAAAACGTAATCCATTAATAATTTTTGTCCAAGTACATTACATTTTTTAAGCCATTAAATCCACAAATCTATAGATTGACGTTTTTGGATAAAAATTTTTATTATTACTCGTAAATTTATAATTCTGAGAACAAATGTTGTGGATAAGAATTGTAGCTATCATAACGTTATCTATAAGTGATTGTAATTGAAGTATGCTAAGTACCAACCTAACATATTTAAAATACCAAACATTTTAAGTTTGTCACATTTAACAACAGAACGGTCTATATGTCAATAATTAAAAGCTGTAATTGGGAATGGTCTTAATTAAAATTGTTCATAATATATCACAAAATCATAATCCATAAACAATTTCTTTCCAACTCTTTCGCATTTTTAGTTATAAACCCCAAAAAAGGCCAACTCCCTTAATTGTCAGTTAAAAATATTTAATTGATGGTATATATCCTATATTAAAGATAAATCCATTTATTTTAAGATAAACTATGATGACGTGGAAGTTATTCAACAAATATTCCAGAAAATTTATAAGATTATCTTATAAGAACATCCTGTTAGTTCGTATAAAAGTATTTTTAGCTCATAATTAAGAAGACTAAAAATCGTATAATTCATGAACCGGTTCAGTAATTAAAATACTTCTTGTGCAGGAACGAAGCCGGATTCCAGAGTTTTAGCCTAACAAAGATAGATGTCGTTTTATGAAGCTTCCTGCTTATATTTAAATTACAATGGAAAATTACAATACAAAATTACTTGTTAAAATTTACATAACACAAACTATACTTACGTCTCTTCCTATTGTAATTTCATCGGTTTCATAAACAAATTCGTCACAGGTTTCAATTACATTTTTATCAAAATGATCTTTCGGGCAGCTTAGATTTTTTCCATAATTTTCAGTTAGGTTTGATTTGAATTTGTAACAATTTTTTGGATGATTATTTTTAAAAGGGACCGCATTTTCCAACCAGGGTTCATAAAAATTCGGATTTTTTATATCATCACAACCATTTATTTTGCACCTATTAAATAAAAATATTACATAAAATTCAAAAAAAAAAATACAAATAAGCTATACAGATTTCTACCTATATCTTAAATCCCTTGCTGTAAAAATATACCCCATAGGGAAACAAGAAAAAATCACCACAAAACATACCAAAAGGAGATTTCTTTTTTGAAAATTACCAAAATGACCCAAATCTTCTAAAAGTTTATCCAGGTTTAGAGAGGAACTCATTTTTTTGTTATGTTTTTCACTTTTTATACAGCTTCATATCGTTAACTAAGGTAAACCGTGCGTTTACACCGAATACAAAGTACGACTCATCGAAAAGCTTGGTTATTTCGATCGAAATCGCAGCAGGAATAATTAAAGAATTCGTTCAAACTCAGCAGGAAATTTATTTTCAAACCTAAACCAGCGTACAAAAGATGGCGTTTACATCGTTACAATACACAGAAATCTAGATATTATTGACACAAACTATATCGTTCTTTAATAGATGACCTTCCCATATTAAACTGGCGAAGGATCTAATCCTGTATTCAAAGAATAATTTCTATACATTCCAGTTATTGATAAAGCAGTCGTAAAAGCACCCGTTTTTGGGGAGAATTGTGTTGGAACGCTATGAACCGTTGGCGGAAGCCTGTAAGTTTAAATAGTTTTAGTTTTCCAATTTCCTATAAATAAAAAGATACACTTTGTGGGGAAGGAACGATAGCGATTCAATTAAATTTTCCCGTCTCTCGTCCTGAAAGCCAACAATAACACCGATAACATCAATGAGAATTACAAATGAACGTTCAACCGGCCCCACGCTCTTCCGTAGTCGTTGAATAAAAGGACTAAAGAACAAAGGACCAGTTAAAAATGTTAACTGAACCGCGAGACAAAGGGTTCTACACCCGTTTATTATTTAATTTCTTTTATTTTGGGCGGTACTCCAGTCAGACACAGGTTTTAAACTTTTTGGGCTTTTCAAATCTACACTCAAAAAGTCTAAAGACCAACTTACGATGGGGTCGGGAAAATTTGTCATGAAATATCAACAGTTGATGTGGTAATGCAAAAACCATGTTATGAAGTAAGTTATTAATGGGAATGTTTATTATTGGTTTATGAAAATATTGGTGTACATTGTTTATACATTAAAGATATTTCCGAAAATGGTGCAAAAAAGTATTAAAATAGGTAAATTTATTACCTCCCATAATCGCCTGATGTGGTTCTATAAAATGGATGAGGTTGTGGTTTACGGTGAAGACCATAACCGTGGAACCAAGAAGGATATTCGAACCGTTTTGGTAGTTTGCAGGTTCTATAGAAATCGGATGTTTTAAGCAATTCTTCGGAATCGGGGCAATGCATCTCAGTCGAGGGAGATCTTTTCTTATTACTTTTTGCTACACGCGTTCGAATTCGGATTCGACCAGCTGCTCGGGATCCAGCACGGATTTATAATGTCATCGTATTAGGATTTTATAACTGCTCGTGGCGCTATCTGACAGCTGTTTCCATGGATTTCCCTATCGATAAAGCGGCCCGAAAACGCGAACTGGGGCATATTGAAAACGTGACGGCCATGACGAAGTGCGTTCGCAATGGTTTTCAAAATACTCCTCCTAGAAATTATCATTTTTTCCACAAATTAAATATTAAAGTGTTAATTTAGTTGATTACATTCGCTGCAGTGTAGCTGGTTTTGGCAGAGGGTACTTTTAAGAGGTGAAAGTAGCCCGGTGCAGTTTCGAAATTTAAATCGCACCGGGTAATTGGTGGGTTTTCCTGAACGTTTTTCCAAACGGCACCTATTTTTTCACCTCGCCGGTGGTGGTACTGCAGACGCCCTAAATATGGCCGAGTTGGCAATGTGCCAACCCGTTAAAGAATTAGTGCACTTGTCGCTCACCGAACAGGTAAGCGGGCAACGCCATTAAAGTGTCTCCCTCTTCGATTCAAATGGATAAATCGCAAGGGGATGAATTTGCAATCGCATTTTCCGTCACCGAAACGTCCTTAATGAAGTTTCCTCATTTCCAGATTTACCTCACCAAAAATATTTAATAAAAAGTGATCGATATTTATGGGATAGCAAAAAAAATAACGATGGAATTTATATCGAAAACGTGAGATGCATCCTTTAAGACTTTTTTCATATAAATAAATTGGATTTACTCCAAATTTCTAAATCATTAAAGCACTCACCAACAAATTCAAGATTTTAGTTGATTGACTGTAGATTAGTGAATAACAAATTACTTATGGCACACTAAATTTGCTTAAAAAAATGATTTTGAGATATGATTTTTTAATTTCTATTTATAAAATATCAACTTAGATGCAGAATTTAAAATCTTAAGTTTATTATGGATGTTTTGGTAATTTAGAGTTGCTAATTAATTTATATCTTTAATAAAAATTAAAACTCTAATTTAGTGATATAAGAATAAATAAAATTAGAATTTATACCAGAAACGTGAGATCCATTCCTTAACACTATGCTCATTACGCTAGATGCTCTAAGGGCTAATTAAATATAGATGAATAATTTGGGGATAAGGGAACGTTCCATGGACGGGTTATCATTAATAATGCATCAATGCTTATCGCAAATTCGCATCCAGGGATATTATTGAACTCGAGATAACAAGGTAATCAATAAGACAATTCCCTATAGTATTTAATAATTAAGGATATTTAAACATATTTATTTATTGATTCAAAGATGTTTTTTTATTTTAAACAACTACAAAAACCTGAATACGCATTAATGAGGATGGAAAGAATTCAACATGGGACACTTGTGCACGAGTTTGCACTCGAACGTGTCTTGAAGAGGATAGAGGTCGTAGAACTGAGACGAGGAGATGACGATGTAGTGGTAGATTTTTCTCTTTAAAAGTTTGTAGAAAAACCACACTTTCATAAAATTTAATAATCTCTAATTGAAGTTGAATTCGAGTAAAAGTAAAGATTTAATGAAATGTTTTTAACATGCCCTAATTCCTATTCGAATTTAAGCGGGGGTGTTTTTCGTTCCTTTTACGGTTCCGTAGTCAAGATTAAAGACATGTTAATGCCTGGTAATGTAATTGCGCTCACTAAATGTTATAGTCGGCCGTTTGTCAACTGCTGGTAGCTCGAGAACAATTAGCATGACGCTGCAAAGGAACCAAGGGGTAATTGAATCGTTATTGCTTTTCTCTTTGAGCATATTAATTGGTTATTAAAACCGAAATTTTTACCGGGAAAATTTCGATTTCCATTCTATAAATAAGTTGTATAATCTTGATATTATTGATTTAGCGTGTTTATCTTCGTTCTTTTTCTTTTCATCTCTTTCAAGTTTTATTACCGCTATCGCTTTATTCGGAATACATTTTTCCGTTTTCTTGTCCCAAACAAAACCCCATTTGCAAGCGCAGCTATAACTTCCGGGCATATTTACACATATTTCCGTATGATTATCGCAAAGATATTCTTTATCGCAGCATTCGTCGATATCGATGCAGATTCCATATTTTGAACTCCATTTGTATCCTTGATTCGGACATTGGCACGTTACGTTCCATCGATTTAAAATTATATCATGAAAATTTTTATTTTCGTGTTGTTTAAATTCGCATCTTCTATGGTGTTCCTGATTTATTTGGCATGGATTATCTGGGTGATTATCGCAATCGCTCATATCTTTTAAATGTTTATTTTTGGGGCAACAAGGATCTGGACAAAAGCTGTACATAGCACATGCAAATGGTTCTGAATCGTGCGCTCTTAAATCGTGGTTATTTGAACCAAATTCTTCATCTAGACAATTCGCGAAATTATCACAAGTGTCGTTTAAATATTTTAAATCTAAAACTTCATTCATTGTATACCAACATAAATAGTAACTAACGGTTGTTCTCCATTGAAATCGCTCGAGAGGGCCTAAAAAGGGGTCAGCTAATTCATCATCTTTTAAAGCTTGTTTTCTACATTCGTTTTCAACTTCATCTATTTGTTCGCTTTGGTTTACTAAACTCCACTTTTGCTCTTGAATCACCACGGATGTATCGTCTTCTCGTTTAATCCCGGTCCCTTTTAGTTTAACTTTGATGTACTCCATGCACTCTAAAAAGGAAGGTTCGCAAAACTTTTGCGCCTCCCAATGTAAACTTCTTAACGGAGGTCTCGGAAACATCGCAAAGAACAATCGCGTTGCTTTCTTTGGATCCGGCTCATATCTTCTATCGTACTCATTAAATTTATGATTACGTAAATAATAAGCGATGTCCTTAATTGTAGTTGGCAACCAAGAATAATCACCTTCACCTTCCTTTTGAATGCTTGCCAAAAAGGGATCATCAGTCACGAGATTAGTAAGAGGTTCCTCGTTGTCACTTCTAACGACTCTTAAATCTTGTAATGGGATGTTATTAAAAGAGTTTTTATTTTCAGTTTCTTCAGAAAAAATTGTGGCGATTAATAAGAAATAAATTAAATAATGAAATTGAATTTGAAATTGAAATTCCATGTCAAAATATGACGTACATAAATAAAGTAAGTGGATGAAGTGGTGATTAAATAAAGTTTAAAAGTGACAAAAAAAAAATGGTTATAGTGTACTAAAAGGAGTTGAAGAACATTACCTAAAACTGCACTTGATACACAAACTAACCCCCCTTAAGCCCTTGAAGCGTTAAGTCGCCGGGGAGACTTGAAACGGTGAAGATTTATCGCCGGAAAATTGCGCGGGTAAACTTTCCAGCTGGGGTTGGCAACCCCCTGGCGTAATTTACTTGAAGGGGCTACGACGAAGCGTCACCGCCTCGAACAAATAAATACGGGGCCACCTTCTGTGTGGACATTGGGGGCGGCACATCGCGGATGAATAAAATATGGGAAACGTTTTGCCATATTCCGCAGGAATTGAATGTCCCTAGCTGCAAGGCAAACGCGGCAAACAAGACACGGGCGTGAGTGAAATATGCTCGGGAAAGTGTTATTACTTCGCCTGAAATATTCCCTCTTCTCGACCGGCGCTGTGCCCTACCAACGACGTCGACGTCATCGCGTTTCCGAAATTTCCCCATATAAATATGGAATTATGGCGGTCGCGTTCTGAAAGCTGCATATGAATTTCCGTGAATTTTATTTAGGGCTTTCAAAACTCACAACTTAAGCTAAACGTAAACCGAATCCATCTAACTAAAACAAACTTTCCTCAAAAACGCTTTACTTCGTTCAAACAATTAGAAAGGTACAGCTGATAATAAAATTATTCCAATCGACGGGTATTAGTAATCAAATTCTCTTTACACTTAGCATAAATTTCCATGGTAATCTCCGGAAACCAGACATTATACAGGTGAGAGCGCAGAATCAAATTACATTTGGTTAGAATTACCACAGGCCTATCAAAGCAATTGCAATTGTCATACCAATCTCAATTCAAAGATCTCATTAGAACCTTTGAAACTAATTAAATTGTATTAATCAAAATGTCGAGGTAAAAACTCAAATTAAACTAAATTTAAATTGAATTTCAAAAATCATACGAGGAAGCAAGTATCCGTTATAACCAAAAATCCGAATTAATTTTCAGTCTACCTGACTTTATATTTATAACGACGCTAGAATCTAAGAGCACTGCTACATCCCGGAAAGACTCGAAGGCCCGTTCGTGACGTCACGCAACTACTATTTCACACTTTGAATTAGCAAATGCTTAATTTATTCTATTCGTGTTCTGTAATGTTGTTAGTTTGAGACTTAAGGTTCATAATATAAAATAAAGACTTTGATTGAATTTTGCCGTGCGTCTCTTAAGGCGGCTAAACTCGAACGTTTCTAGTTCTAGGTATAGTTCTGTATAAAAATATACAGCAATCTAGCGCTAATAACAATTAAAACTAGAACTAACACTAGACCTAGACTTAGAAAGTTTCGGGTTATAGATATTAAAAATTTGATTAACGAAAATATTAAAACGTATAATGATCTACTAGTGCACCTTTTGGAATTGAGCTATATTTCGTTCAAGATTAAGTTAAAATCTTCCCTATTTTGTTTTTTTTTTTTCATTTTGTTTTTGTTGGTATTATTATAAAGATTTTCATGTTTGTTTCATATATATGTTACAGGCCGTACATGAAATCAGACCGTAAGTATACGGTCTAGATGGCACATACCGTATGGAAATGATGAGGTATTTTATATACGGACTAGACCATTTACATACAGACTACTGTAATTTAGACTGTATGTTCAATCGCAAGTGTCTAGTTGCCGTTTAGTCTTTGTCTCGTTTTGCTCCAATTTACAAAATATTTTGCAGCAAAATAAGCACAGTGGTGACATTCGTTAAAATTGAAACGTTTTTACTGTTTAATGCAATAGATTTCCACAATGGAATTACACAAACAAAGGTACGTTAATATTATAGTTACTTGTTACATAGTAATATAACCTAAAATTAAAAAAATAAAATAGGTTTTATGAACAACTGTATGAACGAAGAAAAGACGTTGCCGATAACAACCGTGAC